TTTATTCTTTCTCGACTGAGGTTTGTGAGAAAATGAAGCCCTTATGCCCTAAGGCATCCCTAGCATGTAATGACACAACTTCCCTCTGTTAGCCTGGAATGGGACATGTTGTGGACCACCACCAGAGAACTGAAGACATAGTAACTCCAGTCATTTTCTGTGTTCTGTGGTTCAGATGAGGAATCCTGGTTGAGAAAGTCATTAGCACGGGTATGGTCCCTAAACTGACAACGTTTGCCTTCAACCTTCTTATTCTTATGGTGGCAAAATAGCTACTGCTACCCAAACAGGAACAAAGAAAAGCTGAACTAGCCCTGAAAACCATATGAGAAGCACTAGAGAACTTCAAAGAAATCCAAAAAGGGATAAAGATAGATGAGTGGGGGTGGGGAGGAGGAACGAGCTGATGAGTAGCTAAAGCAAGTGAAGAGGGGAGACGTAGAAACGACTAGAATGCAGGATGAGTGGGAAGGGGTGGAGCTATGAGTTACTGGAAAGGGGAGGAACTGCCCGTGTTCATGGAGCTGGCCCACGACCAGCACACCCCGCTGGCAAGGTTCTAAGGGGTGCCATCGCTTGCTCCAGTTTGCCTCTCTAAGGGCTGCACATGATTTTGCATGAAACACGTTGGCAGTAAGCATCTTCTCACTTCTGGGCTCAGGATGGGAATGGCCTCCTCCCTATGCTGCCAGCCAGAGGTGGGGAAGTGGCCCCTTTCCCTCGCCGGCTTCCCACACTCAGTGGCTGGCCTCACGCCTGTGCCCAGCGTGGGCAGCTTCGGCTCCGGATCTCTCCCCGCGTCTCCCTGTGCTGCCTCTCCTCCCGCCTGCCGCACCCAGCATCCACAGTGGGTAGAGCGGAGCGGGTGCGGGCCTGGCTTTTTGCAGCTGGGTTCCCAGGAGATGTTGCTCTGAAGGCCGAGTGCTGGACGACCCCGTGGTGCGGGCGGGTCTGAGGGGCCTGCGGTTCTCCTCGCTGCCTCCTGTGTACTTCTAGGGCCCTTCCTGCTCTGCCCAGATGTGCACCCACGGGGAACTGCTTCAGCGTTCAGACACGTCTATGCAGTCAGGCTATGTAATGGAGCCAGTGAGGATATAACCTAAATCGGACAGCAGTAATTTTCTTTAAAAATCATGAAACCTAGTTAACCAACACTGTCTAGAAAAGAGGCTGGAGTCAGACATCATGGTCAAGGAATGTCCGTGCTAACTCAAGGAAGTTTTAGATACCCCCTTATCCCCCTCCCCAGAACGGGCTCTGCAGCCCTGGTCTCAGCCGCAGCTAGAGAAAGAGGCAGAGGAGCACAGGGTGGGCCAGGGACCCTCACCCCCCTGCTGCTGCCTCCACGCCCACCCCTGTCTCCAACCCCTTTATGGGTGGTTTCCCATTTCGCCTTTGATTTAGGGGTGAGACTGCATTGCACAAGGCGGCCTGCCAGCGGAACCGGGCTGTGTGCCAGCTTCTGGTGGACGCAGGAGCATCCCTGAGAAAGACAGACTCCAAGGTAACCGGATGCGCGAGTGCAAACATGCTCCCGCGGGGCGAGCGGCGGGCTCTGCTGCCTTCACTGTGCCCGCAGTACAGGCGTCTTTTCTGTGCCTATGGAATTGCCTGGGGCTTTGGAAGAAGGAGGAAAAAATAGAGTGCTTCATTTAGAGAAACTGCAGTTTAAATGTATAAGCACAATGAGAGGGTGTGTGCTTTGCCTATGGGGCTTTATAAACCCCTGAATATGCTGGCCTTGGGACTTTGGGTTTGTCCTGCTGAACGCCGGCAGCCAAGTCAGGGGAGGTGAGGTCTAAAGCCCTGGGAGAGGGGTCAGGACAGTGTTCAAAGGCATTGGCCTGACTACTGAGAAGCCCCTTTGGGATTTCTCCTTCAGTACTTCAGCCAGTTTGAAAGGTATGATTTATGTGGGGTTGTATATGGGTGCCAAAGTGATTACCTTTTGGCTACCAGGATGATGGGCTCAGGCTTTGAGATGGTTGCAATCTTAAATCTGGTGCATTTATGTAGTTCTTTATTTTTAAAAGTTTTTCCCATTTGTTTTCTCATAGTATTCCCTAAAAGTTAACCCCAGAAATTAGATAGGAAATTATTGTCACTGATAGATGCAGAAACTGAAACTTAAAGAAAGTTAAATATGCTCTTGGACCAGTAGCTAAGCCCAAATCTAAATTCAGCTCTTTTGATGTCCAGCCCAGTGTTGTTTCAGCAGATCAGTTGTTTTCATTTGGTGGCAGAATACCACCACTGCCCCAGCATCATGAAGTGTGACAAGATAACAACGTTGGTTTTCACACGGGGCTTTTGTCATCTGTTTCGTTGGAGTGCAGTGACACCCTTGGCACTGTGACTTGAAATGTGGGTGGTTTCTCCACAGCGGAAGTTAAGAAAATCTGTATTCAAAGTGTGTGCGAATATCTTAATATGAGGGCAGTGAGGCCAGAAATTTGTGGTGTGATAAATGTGACAACCTTGATCAGAAGGTGCCAACAGGCAGAGCTGAGGCTTCAGGAGAAACAGCCTAGGAGAACTGAGATTGGGCTGCACCATGAGCTGTTTTTATTTACAGAGAGCATGAGAGAGAGAGAGAGTTGTTATACAGAAAAGTAAACCACATAGAAGATCCTGTTAAGCTCCAAGAGTTTTAAAGCACCTTGTGTAGACTCCAAGGAAGGCCGCCCACTTAACTACAGAGAGTCGCAGAGAAGAAATGACTGTCTCCCGAGTGCACTTGTCTCTCCTTTCTGAGCCAGTTGCATTGCGTAGAATTCTCCACTTCCTGGCAACCTAGACCTACCAGCATTCCTGCATTCCAACTGAGGTCTCTGTTTACCTCGATGCCTTCCTAGACCTGTCAAACATACCTGACCTGTGTCTTGGTTTCTAGGTGGTCTTACCTGTCTGGCTAGCTAATTGGCAGATCATTGCTTCATATCTTCCCAGGTGATGTTTTCACTCAGATGCTTTGATGTTTAACCTGATTGAGAGACACATGCCTTGAAGGCAGGATCAGTAGGGGCATGTGGTGGGATAGGGTTGGCCTTGTTGGAGTAACTCAGAGCAGAGCAGGGCAACTGCCTATTTACCACACAAAGGCTATCCCTACACTCGACTCAGATAATAGGAAGGGGGGACGCTTATGTTCCCTTTGACCTACCAATCTCACATGTTTGACGTAATGCTTGTATAGGATAATAGATTTGAAAGTGTCTTATAAACTCTAAAACACCAAACACAGAAGGATCCTGATTAGTGAGTAATCTTTGGATAGCTCTGTTTCTGTGATTTCTTTTTTTTCTTTTTTATATCTCACTCCAAGTGCTTATGTCTTTTCCCTTTTCATTGTTATCTGTAGGGTAAGACACCTCAAGACAGAGCACAGCAGGCTGGGGACCCAGATTTGGCTGCTTACTTAGAAAGCCGTCAGAACTATAAAATCATTGGCCATGAGGACCTGGAAACTGCTGTTTGACCCTGGTAGATGGGCAAAGAGAACGTGAGCATCATATCACCTATGCCCTCCTGGCAATTGGGAATAAGCTGATGGAATTCATATATCTGTCTCTCTCCTGCAAGAATCTATCTGAGACCATGCCACCAGTTTTTAAGGGCTACCATGATGTGCAACAGAACATGATAGCCCATTGGGAAGGAGGCAGGATACCTGGAGATTTGTGGAATACAAGTTCCACAAAATTTGATCCTTATTGCTTCCAGCAAGTAGCATGAACTTCTGCGTTCACCTGTATAATTTATTTTAAAGATTCAAAGGATGTTCGTATAAATGGCACTGCTCCCTCCTCCCCTCGGCATTCATCTTTCCCCTGTTCCACGCAATTCTACTGTAACTACCCATCAACTTCAAAATGTGGTATTTTCTCTCCTCTTTACGTTCAGTCTTTGAAGACCACAAGATTGTCCAAAGCACTTTTAAAACACTCTGGATGTCCTGCAGAAATGTAACTGTAAAACCACTTCCATTTCCATGACTAAATATACCAGACCACTTACTGACTCTTTGCATGTCTCCCCTCCCCCTCCTGTTTCATTATATAGGAGCTGGGATGTGCCACGTGGATAATGTCAACTTGTGTGCTATATCTCTGAGGTGTGGGGAGGTGGCAAGGGAGTTGTCTGTACTTGGAAGTACCTCAGAGAGGTAACCCAGGGGTTGGGGCAGGCTGCTGGGCAGTTGCTAATAGCCATGCAGAACTGATTCGGCTTGGGCTGTTTGTACAGCTCCGTACTGCCTATGTGTAGCCATCTTTGCCTTTTGCTGCAATAGAGATGATCAAAGGATTAAACAAAGGCTCATAGCTAGTTTGCAGAACCACTCAATTTTAAGTGCTCTTTAAATTGTAGAGCAGAAAAAATTGTGTGTGGGAACTGTGGTTACAGGAAATGGAGCACTCTGACAACATTTACTTCTAAACTTTGTTGAGTGATAATAGAAAGCAGCCTGATCGACTTGGGAAAAAAAAAAAACAGCAAAAGTAGCAACATATGTCAAGATAAGACACTTAAGCAAGTAAACAGTCANCACTTACTGACTCTTTGCATGTCTCCCCTCCCCCTCCTGTTTCATTATATAGGAGCTGGGATGTGCCACGTGGATAATGTCAACTTGTGTGCTATATCTCTGAGGTGTGGGGAGGTGGCAAGGGAGTTGTCTGTACTTGGAAGTACCTCAGAGAGGTAACCCAGGGGTTGGGGCAGGCTGCTGGGCAGTTGCTAATAGCCATGCAGAACTGATTCGGCTTGGGCTGTTTGTACAGCTCCGTACTGCCTATGTGTAGCCATCTTTGCCTTTTGCTGCAATAGAGATGATCAAAGGATTAAACAAAGGCTCATAGCTAGTTTGCAGAACCACTCAATTTTAAGTGCTCTTTAAATTGTAGAGCAGAAAAAATTGTGTGTGGGAACTGTGGTTACAGGAAATGGAGCACTCTGACAACATTTACTTCTAAACTTTGTTGAGTGATAATAGAAAGCAGCCTGATCGACTTGGGGGAAAAAAAACAGCAAAAGTAGCAACATATGTCAAGATAAGACACTTAAGCAAGTAAACAGTCAAAAAAAAAAAAACAGCAAAAGTAGCAACATATGTCAAGATAAGACACTTAAGCAAGTAAACAGTCATTGGAACGTTGCACAGAGGCTAATAACCATAGACTCTTTAATACAGTAATGAGAGGGCCCCATTTTATGTTTTCCTTATAGGTTTTTGGTTTTCATTGCTCCAAGTAAGCCTTGACCCAAGGACAAAATCTTGTTTAATGAGTTCCACTGCCAGAGTTCGAGATGCCTGGATCTTTCTGATAGAAGCTTCACCTATTCGTTGTCAGGTTCCAAGGTCATACACGATAACCCCATTTTACGTGACTGGGGTATTCTAATATATTCTTTTCTCTACTTTATTTTCCCCTATCAGAAAATTCTTAGTGCAAGCCACTGTGGGAGTCTAGCCAGAAATGTCTGTCTGGTAGTGGAACTGCAATGCCTAATCCTGCTACGGACCAGATGGTACTGACAGGTACCTCTTTTATGGACTCTGCGATAACTAAAATATCAGGAGAAACAGTCTTCTACCTTTCTGTTCAAATATCTATTTTATTTGGGTATAAGTCAAAAATAAAAGTGGGTGTCCGAGTGTTTTGCTTTTGGCTAAATCTGGTGTCTCCTGAGCTTCCTTCCATTTTGCCTTTGGACACAGTGCAGCGCTTCCCTGACGTTTCTGCATGTGACCATAAATGATCACTTCTTTAGATTTAATTTAAAAGTCCATTGGTGACACACTGCTTATCTGAATCACATTTTGGTCACATATCATCATTTTGAAAGTATGGATATGATATATTATATTAAGTAGGAACAGCCTTTCAGTGGATGGAGATTTTATTACCACAGTCTCTCCACAGGCATTTCAAAATCAAATTGTTGGCACTCTTTCCAGCTGTGGGAGAATGGGTTGGTTGTGAGTCATCTATTTCCGTATATCAGTCTCAGAAATGGAACTATCTTTTGGGTTTTACAGTGAGGGAAGGAGGGACTGCAGTAGATTGTTTCCAGAAGCTGGAAGAAATATGCTCCAGGAGAATTTAATCACTGGGCTTTTGCTGGGAGTTTTTCAGTTGATGGGACTGTCAAGGACATGTAGTGATGACAGAAATATAATATCCTTAAAACAGACTGGAATCTGGCTTTGAATGGTACCTTCCATTCCCTGGATTGAGCCAAACATTAGGCCAAGCAGTCGATTCCCCAGCTGCCACTGCTGGGGTGAGGGACTCTATTTTCATCAACTACCATCTCACATTTCTCTGTGAATGTTTCAGAGCTGCACAGAGAACATTTAGGGTACAGGTGGCTATGGGCCAATTCAAATAGCTCTAATTGAAGACACAAACAAATCCCTGGTATGAAAGTAGATGAGGTACTGACTACTGGAAGGGCTCTGGTGCATTTGGAAATCATTCCACACTCCCTACCACCACCCTCCAAAATAAAGGCATTAGAGTCCTGTGTTATTGATGGGGAGCAATATATGTTATATCTCTTGGAAAAAGCATGCACCCTTAGAACTTGGGCTTTCAAAAAAAAAAAAAAAGTGAAGAGGACAACCACATATTTAATGACTTCAACATTAAATCTACCTCTCAAAGCATTTTTTAAAAAATTGGTCACTGCATGTGACAGTCTTGGGCTTTAGAAAGAGCTAAGGCCATATGGTCTGGGAGTTTCCATCTCAGCTTAAGTATATTGTATCCCCTTTAATGGGCCATCAGGAAGTACAGAAGCAAATAGTCTAGTCCTGGTCTGAAACTGCACATAACTTTAACAGACATATAAATATGTACCTATAGAAATGTCATTTTTACAGAGCCCACTGAGACAGTACGGCAAGAAGCGGCTGGCTTAGCTGGTATTCCTCTGTATTTGGTCCTTCCTGTCATGGCGCTGTCTGCGCTGGGATTCCATTTTTAAGTTAGGCTGATAAAGGGATAAAAAATGAAGAGTTATTAAAAGAACATTCTATAACCTTTAAGGTAGTCATTTTTTACAGCCTCATATTCCAGTATTACACATGTAATGAAATGGAACACAGTTAAGCTATGCTTTATCACATTTGAAGACTTGATAAAGAACAGAAGCGAGGATTAGTAAGCCAAGAAGGAAATAAACACCATGACTGGAAATTTCACTTTGAGAGGTCTGGTTACCTCCATGGAGGTGATAAACGAAAACTGGTGCAAGTTCTGAAACAGAATTTAGCCAGCAAATACACAGCTATGAAATTAGTGATGACGGGTGGAAAGCCTCACATACCCTATTGCTCCAGATTCTTTCATAGTAGCTGCTTAGGCAGATCTGTCTGTGCTGTGAGACACTCAACAGGTAGTTCATTTTTATATGGACCTAGTAATACTCCCTTTGCCTAAAGGATAGCTGAAATTTATTTACTAGACTCCTCATAATATTTTTTTTAGAAAATGTAGGGAAGCAGTTTCGTTTTATTATATGTCAATTTTATTAATATTTAGATCTTTTAAGTTATAAAAGTAGCACATGCTTTTCATAAAAAGTTCTAATACCACAGATGAGTATTACATGCAAAGTCAAGGCATTCCTCTGTGCTGATGTTGGGTCGCAGTCCCCAGAGATAAACACTAACACTGATGAACATTGTTGCTTGTATGTTATGTCAGAAGTACTCCGTTCATACACAAACATGTATATGTATATATATACATACACATCCACACACATATGTATAGAAATTTATTTATATACATATATGTGTATATATACTATACATACATATATTGCATAGGTTTATTAAAAAAAGAAAACATTTTAAAAGCATGCTAATCATCTGTGTATGTATAGTTAACACCAACAGGCAAAGATAGATAAGGTAACAGAATTTTCATATATTTTTTGTTTCTACTATTACTAAGCTTAGTTCTTTCATTGCATCACTGCAACTGTACATGGCATTTGCTCTTGCCTACTTCATAAACTCCATAACCAAGAGTTCTTGTACTTGTTTATTTTGCCTTCCATGAAGCATGAAACCCTCCTTAGGCCCAAGACTTGCCTATGCTATTTTTGGGTCTAAAGTAAAGGAGAGTTCTTTCCTCTGTGATGCTTACACCACTTTATAAGGCTGAGTTTACCTCAGGAGGTTGCCCAGTGTATTTAATCAGGCAAGCTACAGCCAGGAAGGTGTAGTCACTTGGATACAGTCTGGGGTCTGAGCAGCTTGGCATCCTTTCAAATGGAGTAGCTTATGAAATTACTGGGAACAGCATTATATTTTATTCAATTATGCTATTTAAAAATAAAAATAGGCTGTTAAAATGGCTTATCATAACCATCAAATAAAACTACTAATTGCTCTATTTAAATGAATTATGTTAATTTTAAGAAAAAATAGAACAACATCTATTAAATTAGCTTTATGATTAATCTTTAACATATTTAGGTAAAAGAGCTTCTGTCTGCATCTTAATAGAACCACTTTGAGTCTCTCAACTGCTCTCACTCTCTGAATTCCATACTCAGCTGACTGTACGTCCCATGGTGTTCTCTCTGCCAAGCCTCTCAGACTTGGGGTCCACCCATTTTCTGTGTTCCAGTCATCACTCGTCTCTGGTCCCTCTAATTTTCTAGCCATTGCAACAGTCCTACTCCTGGACTTTCTGCCATTACTGTCAAGTCAATAATTTTGTCATCTAGTTGCCAAAATCTTCCCCAGATATTATGCTCAAAGTGGATCAAAATGAAATTACCCTCTGGGGCAAGTATCCATTTTGCTCAAAGGACAAATAGATGTCCACCAACCTTGATCATCTTAAAAACTTATGATAAACCTGACTTTGAGAAGCAATCTACCGAGTTAGGCAAATTCCGTCTAAGTCACACAAGAATATACAGTCATGGCTACTGCTTCCACATACAGTAATGTAAACAATGCCTCCTTGAAATTACCTGGAGGACTGGATTATGTATGTGTTATACCCCTAAGGGCAATCTTTGTATTTTAGCCTGTGTCCCCAGAGCTTAATGAGAAACCTAAAAGCAAGAATAAGCAAAGAGGACTGCTCCTGGACAACCTGCCCTACCAGGACACTGAGTTTCACTTAATTGGTCCTGATAGAAAAGCAGAAAAAAATTCTTGGTCCATTGAAGCACAGATTTTAAAGTATAAATTTGAATATTGGATGGTATCTTGATGATGGATAGGTTCTAGAGTCTATGTATGTATTCAGTCATTATGCATGCAATCTTGTGTTCGTAAATCAACCATATATGCATGAGTCTAATCATTTGGAAAATATTTATCATTTACTCTGATATAGGTAGGCTCCATACTACGGATATAACAGTGAATGCAATAGACAAAACTCTGGTCTTCATGCAGCTGGCAGTCCAGGAAAAATGACAAATTCCTATGTCATAAGTTCTGTGTGGGTGAACCTCAGGGTGCACACCCCCCAACCATGCCCTGGAAGTTCACCCAAGGCTTTGTTGTATCAGACATTCATCAGCCGGCAGTTTTTTAGTTCTATGAACACAAATATTACCTTGGAAAGAATGGTATTTTGCATTTCCTGGAGTCTTGGTAGTGTTATTAAAAATGTATTTGAAACTAAGACTTTAAGATGAGACTTACAAACACCAGTAAAACGAGGGCTAAGTCTCATTTATCCCAGGTCTCAAGAACAGGACTAGAAACAATAAGAATTTGCAGTGGGTTGTGGCTAAATATAAAGATGATAAAGAATAAATATTGTGGAAGAGTAGAGTGGGCATTCTTATGGAGTTACAAACTTTCAGCCCTGGGGACATTTAAGCAAAGGAGACCTGACCACCTTGAGGGGACTTGTGAGTAGGGATGTGTGATCTGAGGGGACTGGAATTAGATTCTGTGATTTTTTAAAAATTTCTTTTTAAAGTGTCTTTGTTGAATAGGAGGATTTCATTTTAAAAATTCATGAAAATCTTGATTTTTAATCTTTAAAATATCACTTTGTAAGTGAGAACCTTTAAAATCTTAGTGGGATTGGCCTTTAGTTCTCATTTAAAAAATTTTAAAGTCAAGTAAGCATGAATTTAAGAGCTAGTGAAAAAAACATACTAAGAGGTGTAACTTAATTCAAAATACTTCTGGAAGCACTATGGATTTTGATGAATAGTCTTAGACATTCTCAAATAAAGTCCTATTAGAAAACTGTCTTACTGTCTGTCCTATATATACATATAAATGCTGTGATTTGATATTCTTAGAATTAAGTGTAATCTAATACAACCACAGAAGAAAATTATGCCTAAAAGATATTTGAAAGCCAAGTGAATATACATGAAAGGCAATCATGGAAAATGCCTTGGCTTTTGCTACCAGCATGGTAATTACAAGGGGGACCTGCCCACAGAAATAAGAAAGTGGTGATCCAGGTTTCCCCCAGCCTCCAAAGTTTCAATATTTTGAGCCAAATGGCATGTGGAATGGGAGCCTTTCATAGTGAGAACAACTGAAACTATTTTGTTTCTCAACCCTTTAGTGAAACATATATAGCTTTCAATAAAATAGCTTGAACAACTCAAATCTATGCTGTTTATTAGTAAACAATTTTAACAATTTTTTAAATGTTAGCACTTTAGCATT